CTCTGATTTTGTATACACTAATCTGATACTAGCCTTCTCACTCAAATCTCCAATTCTACCACTGTAGTAAATATCCCTTTCTGAAAGCAAATTGTCCAGCTGATTAATCAATATCATTTGATTATCATGGAGAAAACACATGGGTGGGGCTCATAAGCTAAAGCATTAGAATCAATCCCTCAGGGCTACCCTTAGGTATTCAGGTCCTTGTTCTAGGAATTAGACATGGGAGTGCACATGGTGATTGGGAGAGAAAGATCAGAGCCTATAACAGCTACATAGGTGATTAAACAGAGACTAATTTCTTGCTCAAAGTAGCATAACTAGTAACTACAAACCCAGATCTTCTAACTACCAGTTCATTGCTTTCTCTACTACACTATACTGCCTACTTTGCAGCATGTAGCCAACAATGATGTACAGATGAGAATCGGCAAAAAATATCACGAACATATATGATCAACAAATGGAATTAGTGGATTATGTAGATAGAGCAAGAGACAGTAGACTCACTATCTCTAAGATAATAAAAGATTATAAGGAAAGCCTCAAACAGGCTAGATACAGCTTTCACGTAGGACTTATAAGAAAATATGAAGAATTTAAAGCATAATTTAAATTGCAGCTAAATCTTTATTCAGGAAGATTTTTTTGTTTGTTTTAGGACCTTCTGTTGTTTGTTTTGCAGAAAAGTTTTGCTGGTCAGATAAGAAGGTACAGAGGCATTGCAATTTATAATATTAGAGGAAGTACATTAAAATCACAGATTGATTAAAGCATCAAATTTTAAGAAAATATTTGTTAAATACATGCTAATTATTACTTTCTAACAAGGTAAGGTATTTTAGGGACATTCAGTATGTTCATTTAGAGAACACTTGGTAAATGATAAGGCCCTAAGTGGCAATAATTAGCTCAAAATTCACCAGACCATATCACTCATTCACTGTTTCTAGATAGGCCTGTTACTATTCCTCAGCTTCCATTAGGACTATTGTCTGTCCTCCTAAAAAATATTACACACATTCCTCTACCTGCCTTTGGAATATCTCCTTAAGTTGGATGAAGCCTGAAACTTATACGGTCTCTACCAGTATTGTCAGCTGAGAGGAATGAGTCAAAAGAAATAGGTAAAACAAATACCACTTCTATCTAATCCTACAAGTGCACTTTTCACTCTGGTTGAAAGAGGAGTGGTAATGATAGCCACACAATGTGCATTTATTCTATGTTTATTACATGACTGGCACTGTGCTATGTATCAGGGTGATTATATGGAGTCATATGATGTGTTTTCTGCCCTCAAGGAGCTTACAATCTAGCTGCAGGGACAAATTAACATGTATGAAACTAAGAGAAACCAAGTGTTAAATTGTGTAGTCCTGACTCTAAGTGTTATGGAAGCACAGAGAAGGAAGTGATTATTGTGGATTGGAACAAAGAAACAAAATATAGGCCCTTTGAAGAACAAATGGGAAGGATAGCCCACCTCTGATGCTACCTTCATGCTTATATTACATTGCGTTATTCAAGTCATCTCATAAAACTCTCTTCCAATACAATATGGGTCAATATCTAATACTGAGTTCCAGCATATGAGAAAAGATCATCTTTCAGGTGAAGGATCACCTATTAAGGAGGACTCTAGCAAGAATCTTGCCAGTAATGGCTAAGAGAGAGACCCCCCCCCCATGATTGTCACAGATCAATGTATTTCCTTTACCTTCATAGAGATGAACAATGGAGGCATCCTTGATCTCCTGGGGGAATAACCTCCTCTTGCCATATAACCTAGAAAATTTCAGTCAGCTTTTGTATAAGCAATGAATCTTCTCCCCAACTTATAACTCTCAGGTGGAATAGAATCTGCACTAGGTGCTTTGCCACAGGAAAGGAACCTAATAGCATTCAAAGCCTCTTCTTCAGTTGGAATCTCAGCAAGAAAGGGATTGACATCAGCCTGAGACAGTCAGTGGTTTCAGCATTGATTGATGACAGTCTATTGAAAACACTATGAAAGTGTTCAGTCCTTCTCCCTAGGATCATGTCCTTATCACTAATCAATGTGGTTCTATCAACACTGAGTAATTGAGATGCACCATAGGTCTTTGGCCCATAAATAGCCTTCAAACATTATAACAGCACTTTGGATGTTACTATCAGCATAAACTGAATTTCATCTGCCTTTTTACTGAGCCAAGAATTCTGTATCTCTCTAAGCTTAGCTCACACTTTACTTTTGATGGAATTAAATGCTTTCTTCTTAGAGATAGATGAACTATTCTGCTGGCAAACCCTGTGGAGTTCTCATTTTTCATTTAGCAGATTCTGAATTTTCCCATCATTTTCATCAAACCAATCTTGATGTTTGTAAGTGTTCTGACCCAGCTGAGCAAATTCAATGCTATACACCAAATCTCTGAAAGCTGCCTACTCCTTTTCTGCTCCACTGTTGCCAACCACGTGTTGGCTCAATTTTCCCTCCAAGTTAGCAACAAATTGTTCCTGCTCAGAGAAGTGCTCTAGTATGTTGACATTAATCCTTCTGGTAGTCATTTTGACTCAGAGTCGCCACTTTTGTCTAATGCAAATATTTAGCTTGGAGAACACAAGTTTATGATCAGTCCAGCACTCCGCTCCACACATTGCCCTCATCATTCTTACCTTCTATCCATCTCCTTACAATCACATAGTCTATTAAATGTCAATGTTTGCTGCGAGGGTGTATCTACAAAGTTTTATTGCATTTAGGCAAACAGAAAACAGTGTTAGTGATGAGAAGGTCATGAGATACGCAAATCTTCAGTAGTAAGAGACCATTGCTATTGCTGTTTCCGAGTCCATTCCTCCCTAGGACTCCCTGCCAAATCTGGTAGCCTGAGCCTACTGTAGCATTAAAGTCACCCAGAAATATAAGCTTGTCCTCTTTTGGTTGATGATAAGGGTCTCCAGTTCTTCATAAATTTTTTCTTTGAGGGGCAGCTAGGTGGTGCAGTGGATAGAGCACCGGCCCTGAAGTCAGGAGGACCTGAGTTCAACTCCAGTCTCAGACTAAAACACTTGACACTTACTAGCTGTGTGACCCGGGGCAAGTCACTTAACCCCAATTGCCTAAAAAAATTAAAATAAATAAATAAAAGAATTTTTCTTTGACCTCATAAGGGTTTGTCATGGGAGCAAAGGCACAGATGATAGTGACATGACATTTTCCTGCAAGTGGCAATCACATTGTCATAAGCCTGGTATTTACTCCTTTTGGGAGGCATACAAGCTTGTCGACCAGATTAGTTTTGATTGCAAAATGTACACCAGCTTCATGGAATTGCCCTTTGCTGCAGTCACTCCAGACAAACACGTATCCAGCTCCAACTTCAGTAAACTGACCTTTATTTACCAGCCTTGTTTCACTCAGGGCTGCTATTTGGATGCAATACCTGCTAAGTTTTCTTTCAACAAGAGCTGTTCATTTTTCAGGTCTACTAGATTTTGTGTTATCTATAAGTGTGCACACATTCTATATACTGATGGTGAATGGAATCATCTTTGCATTTTTGCACATTTTTTGTGTGTGTTTCAATCACAGGGTAATATCCTCACCTGCCACAGTAATCAGGCCAGGGTTAGGTAAGCAGACAATTTTTAGGCCCCCTTTTCTAGCTTTCCTCACACCAGGAGGTGAGCAGTGTGATCCTTAAAAGGCTGCTCAGATACCCAGGGGGCTGCTGGATCCCTCTGCTGTTTCCAGCAAGAAAATGACCCTATTGCCTGAGCCATCTGTGTGCAGAGTCATGACTACAGCTCCCAGTGTATCAGCACCTGCTGCTTTGCCACTTGCCTACTGCCCCAGGACTTTGAGATAGGTAAAAATGGTAAAATGGTGTGGATGATGTCTTTTGTTTTGTGCATAAATTATATTTAAGTGAAACAGAGTTGCATGGAGTTGTCTGCTCCTCTTTCTCCTCCCGAGTCATCACAGTCCAGTGGGAGGGCAGAATCAGGATGACTAGTGATGGCTCAAGATGAAGTGGATGACCTTTGTGTCTTCAACATCTAACCAAGCTCTAAGCACTTTACAATGCCCATTTCAACTACCTTCATGGCCATTGGAACAAATTGTTCTCATCCAACCATTCTACCAGGGGAAGTCTTCACATGCTTTGGGTAGACACCTCCCCTAACTCACTGGTGGGTATGAAACGACTTGCTTATCTAACCCTCAACCTGGTTTAGCCTGTCTGCTGAAACAATTTCCTGGGGTATGGCCACTGTGCATGCTACAGCTCCTTGAAGCTACTGGTGAGAGTTAGGTGGAACAGGTGGACACCAGAGTTGGAAAACAACCCCGAAAAGGGCTCAACAGCCCTCACAACAGAGGTATTAGTCTTCCCTGAACACACCCTACACCACATTATAAAGGAGAGCATTGGTGAAGAGTAAAAATTATAAATTCCATTATTTTAAATTAATTTTTCTTACATAAATAAAACCTATGTAGCCAAGAACAGAAGAAGTGCAGAGAGTTGGGGAAAAACATTTATAGGCAGACAGGATGTGATTGGGTTGGAATGCTGCTGTGGTGCTTGTGACCAACTTTGATAGACTTAGCTCTTCTCAGCAATACAATGATATAAGACAAGTCCAAAAGACTCATGATGGAAAATGCTTTCCACATCCAGAGAAAGAACTATTTTCCCTTTTTTTGTGTTTTTTCTTGGATTTTTCCCCTTTGTTCTGATTCTTCTTTCACAACATGACTAATATGGAAATACGTTTAATATGATTATACATATATAGCCTATATCAGATTGTTTGCTGTCTTGGGGAAGGGGGAGGGGAGAAAGGGAGGGAGGGAGAAAAAAATGGAAGTCAAAATCTTATAAAAATGAATGTTAAAAGCTAAAATTAATTTTTAAAAAGAAAGGGAATAAAACTTAGAACTTGTTTTACAACTTAATTGATTTTTCAAACCTTATTAATTTTATCTTTTGCTTTGTCCACAGGCACTGCTATACTACCTGTTGTTGCTTTTCCCTCAGAAGATTTCTATGTAGACTCTCACTATATGATTCACAGCCTACCTAAAAAGGAACAAAATATCCTGTTCTATTTAGGACTAATGGCAACCTGCCTTGGAACTGGAGGAATAAGAAACATTGTCTGTCCACTAAGTTCTTACAGACTTCAGGAACATGAACCTAAGAAACTAATGTCTTTTTTTACCTGGTAGGTAACTAAATGGTTTATAGCATAGAAGCTATTTGGCCAAATGTTATTATTTAATGTAAATTGAATTAAGGTTTTGAAATTTACAGTTGATGGAGAGCCTTTAATGCGATGTTCCCAAATTCATCTCAAATAGACAGTAATTGCCCTATAACTTTAATGAAACATCATTATTCTTCTATAAAATAGGCATGCACTATTTTAAATAGTGTTTCAACCTTTATTCAACAATAATGTATTCATCAGTAAACAAGGTATATAAAGAAAACGAATATTTAGATCACCATGTGACTTGGAGATCCACAAATGTCTCTGGGACTCTTAGTGACATCCAAGCACAATGTGGAATGTTTTGGGTTAATATGAATTATTCAAATATGGTTTAAACAGCCATTCCAGTGCACATTCTGTTATCAATAGTAGTAGTAATAGCACCAACAGCAGTAGTAGTAATAGCAGTAATAGTAGTAGGTAGTAGTAGTAGTAAAGATTTGAAAAATTTTTGCATATATTATCTCACACGGTTCTTACAACTCTATGAGAAAGATACTATTATGATCTCCACTTTACAAATAAGAAAACTGTTAGCCCCAGTTTCACATAGCTAGTAAGCCTCTAAGTTGCAATTTGAACTCACCTCTTTCAGACTCCAAGGGCAGTGTTCTCTGCAGTAGGCCCTTAGCCAGCAATATGTATGCATAGTGAATTAGACAAAATACCACCATGAACAGCAAATATATATATATATATATATATATATATATATATATGTATGTATGTATGTATATCATAAGCAATGAAAGCACATGATACAGCAAACACATTGTTTTTATACAACATACAAAAGTGGATGTTTCAATTACATACTAAACACACACATACACTACATGAGAAGCTGCTTCTCTGCTTTCTCCTAAAAGGTGACTACTGACCTTGGTCACTGGACTAATAGGCCTGGCACTTTGGCCAGAAACTCTTGGGTTCAGCATCCACAGACTTCCTTTCTTGTAGCTCTAATCTTCATCTGACTCAGACTGATCGTCACTCTGTACAAGTTCTTTAGGTTCCTTTTGTCACCTAGGTGTCTCCATAGGTAGAATATCATGTTAAAAAAAGGGGGGGGTTGTCCCTATATCCAGCCTTTACTTCTGACTATAAGATGACTAAGGACCCCTTTAGGGCCAGGATATACTTGCTTGACTTCTCTGATGGAACCAGTTAGTATTCATGTGCTTTCTTACCTAAGTAGGTACTTAAATAGTTATAGAACTCAGAAAGTCTCTCTGAAATTATTGAGATTTCTGAGCATGGTCTGCTTCTTAGAATCTACTTGGTGACTATCTTTTCCTTCTACTTACCAAGGAGTTCTTCTAACCCTCCAGTGATAGTTGTGATGGATTTATTGTCCTGATGGATCCCTTACCATTTTCTGGGGCTTTTTGACAGCTGTATTTCCCTGTTGTTTCAACTCCTTCACATGGATGGCTTTCCATCAGTCTGCCATGCAGCTCAAGATTCATTAGCAGAACTCTATCTTATTGGAGACAGACTCAAGTATCATACTATTGCTTTTCTCTGTCAGAGTTTTTCTGAGCTGAGACTACAACTAAGGCATCAATCCTTCTTTATCTGTCATTTAATTGAAAACATACTGGTTGTGATTCTCTCCATCTTTTCCATCTTCTAAAACCCCAGAGCACACAAGTAAATGGGCAGGTATGAACCTCACAAAAACATTATTAAGTACAGTGGAAAGCCTACAACATCATTCTTTGTAGCATTGTTTGCACATGCTAGCAATTTCACATGTTAACTCTACTTGGCTTCTTGCTAAGGTCTCAGGGTTCTCAAAATGTTTAGTAATGTAGAAGTGAAATATTCAAGCTGTGGAATTCCCTGAAGGTGGTAAAGTGTGGCTCTAGACTTCTTGATTCCTACCAAGGCCACTATTTCCTTAACGAGGTTGTTTATAAAGTCTCTGTCTTGGTCAGAGTGGATCCTGACAGGGAAACCACATATTTCTCCCACAACACCTTGACACTTTCACAAGTTTTCTGGCTCATCATTGAGGATTCTGTGCATATCAAGTAAACTGGTCTATTACCACTAAGATGTTGCTTATGTTTTCCCTATCTCGTCCCAGAAACAGAAAGCCAATGCAAACAGATTCCAAAGGTTTACTGGTACATAAACTTTCTAAGTATGCAGCACAAATTCGCAGCACTTTCCTTTAAACACATTAAGCACATCTCACATTTTGCTGCCATTTGGGGCCAGTAAAATTTGTTTCTTACCAGCCCAATTATCCTCTCTTGACCCACATTCCAAAGTTATAGTATATAGTACTATCATGGCCATAGGTTGAAGTGCCTTAGGTACCAGTAAGTGTTTTTTGGTTAAGAGGTATGAGATCAGTCAGTCTGGTTCAGCATTCTACTGCAGAGTTTTAACTTCTTCCATTGTGTCAAAATAAGGTGCTCTCTAGGGAATGAAACTTGAACTCTTAAGAATCAGTCTCTCAATACCAGCCATCCAGAGACAACTGAGGCAAAGGAGATTGTTTCAAAGAAACAAATTTCATAAACCCAGAGGGGCATACTCTCTGGTGGAACTCTAAGATTCTCAGCTATACTTTCATGTACAAAGGTCCATTTCCCTGAATCTCAAGGAGCACCTTCATTCCTTGTAGGAGTATCACCATAACTTAAGAGTCATGCAGTCCATGAGACAGCTCATTTACTTTCATATTAATCTTCCCTGACATATAGTGTGCACTAACTCATAGCAGCATCCAACTTAAGGCTACTCAAAATATGGCAGTTCACACTTGATAATGAATTCTATACATTGATTGTCTCAAATTTTCTCAGTGACAACCCATTTCAAATCAATCAGTCATTGAACATGCATTGAGGACTTATTATGTGCCAATCAAGAACTTTTATTTCTTTATTGTTATTGTTCTTCTGGTAAATTCAATTGGTGGCATTGCTCTTCCCTATTTCTCCTGCTCCTTTTCTGATTGCTCCTTCTTAATTTCTCTCTAAAATTCATGTCCAACTCCCTCTGTGTGTATGCACAGTCCAGGTCTCTGTCCTAGGACCTCTTCTCTTCTCTCTATGTAGTCTCTCTCCCCATGATCTCAACAACTCGGTAGAATGTACACTCTTAGAGGGAAAGGGCTCTTTCATTTTTCTATTCCCAGCACCAAAGACAATGCCTGGCATATAGAAGATACTTAATAAAGTTTTGTTATTAAATCAATCTGTTTCCATGGGTTCAATTACCAGCTTATTGATTGATGACTCCCAAATATACATATCTTTATTGAACTCTATTGTCCCATTACCAACTGTCTGTGAGACGTCTCCACCTAGATTTCCCATCTGGCTTTCTATTGTCTCTAAAATAAATATAGACTTCTGCTTGGCATTTAAAGTTTTGTGTCCAACATATCCATCCAGATTCCCCTCTCAATTCTGTGTTTCAGTCAGATTGGATTACTTACTGTTCTCTATACATGGCATTTCATATTACTTTTCCTTGGCTTTGTATGGACTACTCTCTTTCCTTGTCTCTACCTCTTTGGATCCTGAATTAAGTCTACATACATTTTTAACTTTCAAATCTTCTTTCATCACTATGGATAATATAAAGGGACTACCAGATTTAGTGATGTTGTCATTGACTAAATGTTCTTTCAGGTGGATTAAATATCTAATTTTGATAGAATAATTTGTTGAGAATAATTTCTAGAGCATCAGGAGTCATTTTGAGGTAGATTCTGTTTTTACTCCATGGGCACATTCTGTATCCCATTTATGTGGTGAGAACTCAGATTGTTAAACTGAGCTTCTCCCTGAAGTAAGCCTTCCCTTCTTCAAACAGTTGACAATTAACAAAGTCTAATCTGTCTAGATCTAGTCTTAAGTTGGAAAAATCAGTCTTTTTATAACGTTCTTTGCCACTACTTTCTTCCAGTTTCTTGGAAGCTGTTGCATAGGAACCATGGATTGTTAGGACATGACAGTATTAAGTCCCAGATCATAGCCTACACTGTTCTGCTAATACTTTGAAGAAGCTAGGGTTTGTTCCAATCAACCCTGACACACTTGAGATATTTGCTGGGACCAAATTCTCTAGAGCCAAGACAGACACTTTCTTGCTATTGCCACAAGACTCTTGAGAAAATTCAAATTCACATTAATGGTTTATGCATTATTCCATTTCTCAGATGACATCCTCTGAACCTTTCAATGTGCGTGACTAGAGATGTTCCTTATGTTGCTTCAAAAGTTCATGTATATAAAGGTACTTTGGGTACTATTTTAATGGGTATTAACCTTGAAGAAATCAATCTGGAGGACTTAGGGAGATTATGAAAGGCATTTTGTAGAAACTAAGATTCTAGCTGATACTTGACTTTGAGGCTGTCTCTCTATCTACTAAGCCATATTGTAATATATTTACCTTAAACTATGAAGGTATAATAAGCTTAAAATATCAATGTAAACATATAACAGTTATTAATGGAAGGCTATTAGCATAAGCCATTTAATCCCTGGAATTACTGGTTTAATATTATCAGTGTAAGCAATTTGCTCCTTAGAATCTTCAATATCTCTATGAATCTACATAAATGTAACCTGGGACCCAGGCACCTTTGCATTCATTATCAATTGTTTTGTCTAATCCTAATTTGTTATTGCATAAGTCCATGTTCCAGTGCATTCTTTCCATTCATACACCAGCAAGGAGCCAGGAATTTATTTTAAAAAATTGAAGAAGTCAGAATAACTCAGTAACTCATCAGAGCAAAATGGTCGAGAATCACCTTTAATCCCTCCTCCAATCTTCCTACACAATCTTCCACCCCTCAAAAACAATAATGGTATAACCACCTATGTCAATTGGGACGTAATAAACTGAGGGAAAATCATAGCAAGGGGCAGAAATTATTCTCCTTATGCTTGCACAGACAGCCATTCCCCTTCCTCTCC